TTAGTGGTAGAGCATGTGCGTGTGGGAGGACCTGGGTCCAATTTCCACCTCTGCCAAAAAGGAGAAGGGGAAAGGGAAGACAAAGGGAAAGGGGAAAGGAAAGGAAAAGAGGAGAAATCCAAATGAGATTTAAAAATCAAATTCATCTTAATAACTGCAAAGCCCTTTGTAATTGTGTCAGCTTTGATTCAGCCCTTAGAGTGCTGCACGAGAACCCGGAGGGACCATGGAATACTACAGAGCCGTAGAATCAGCTCAGTAATTCCTTTATCTGGATATCCACTGCCTGACATTCAGATGGCAGCGACTTCGCAGCTCATTATTTTATGGCAAGGTGAGGTAAGAGAGAGAGTATGGGGGGCGGACTTCTCAGTAGAAGGCCCCAGAGACACGCACCCCAGAGGCCTTCGCATTCTTACTGAACCTTGGAATTCCCGCTAGGAAATCTGTCCTTTGGCGAAAAAGTTTTGGGGCATCAAATCACAGCAATCCTCTTATTTCAGCTTCCTGAGTGCTGGAATTACAGGAAGAGTAGTTTTGATAAAGAATTAAGAAACGTCTAAAGATGTTATCAATTCTACTGCCACCCTTGACAACCCAGCACAGCATGACTTGATCAGTCTTTGTTTTTTATCCAACCTATCAGAGGGGATGTCTGAGAAATAACTAACCTCCTTCAGTGCTGTTAGTACAATATCATGTCCCTGGAAGGAAAGTTTCTCTTTTTTATAAAGAAGACTGAAAGAGGGAAAGCACACAAAGGAATTAAATACTAATGGTGGCATTTTAGACACAATGGCTCCTGAATGAAAGATTGGGGGGTGGGGTACCAGGATCGAACTTGGGTCCTTGTGCTTTCAAGGCAGGCAGCAGAACCCCTGAGCTAGATCCCCGGCCCCTGGATGAAAGATTTGACATGTACTTCAAGTCCATTATACTAGGTAGCTACTTCCTCTACGTGGAGAGTGGACCTAACAGTGGATCTTTGGCATCTCCAGCTATATAATGAATAAATCTAAGGAGAGAATCAAAGTGAAAGGTTAAGTCTTCCCTGGGAAACACCCTCCCAAACTCAGGTCTGGCAGACATCATCAGCAACACCCTGACTATTTTTAATGGCCAGGAGTATGCTTAAGGAAATGTCAATTGCTATGATTATCCCAAGTCTCTTCTGCATAAATAATAACATCATTACTGACAGATTCTTGGCTCAACCAATCTTCTTTTAAACATGCAGACTAGTCAAAATGAAATACTTACTAGAAAAAGATTGGAAGGGGTGAAACTGGAAATGATCACTCAAAATAAGAAAAAAAAAATCAGCCTCATTAAAAAGAAGAAAAAATATGGGCAATCAAATCTAGCCAGACACCAAAAATATGTATGAACAAACAGCAAGGCAGCAATACTGTGCTGGTATGATGACTTTGAGGGTGCAGTGATCCAAAAGAAATCACCACACAAGCCCGTGACAACCCCCAGCACACACTCAGAAGGTTCATACGAGCCCAGCAGTCCCAGAGCGTTGACAACGTCATATCAGATGGGAGCATTTGCTCTGCTTATGATCAGTTTGTGCCCTAAAGCCTCAAGACTTCCTAGCGCTCATTATTTTTCATTCTTTTTTGCTGCAAAAGCTATCCGCATTCATATGAATGCCTAATCTTTCTGAATCATCCTGAGCTATCAGTAGCAATTATTCCATGATTAAATTTTTAAAGTTAATTAAGTTTAAAAAGGAATCTTTTTTTAGTTTTAAATTTTTTCAGCCTTTTCATTTTATTAAGTGGTCTTTATTTCTTTATTATTAAAAACATAAATAAAAACATCCAATCATGCTTCTCTTTAACATTTATTATTTTGTAGCACTTATTAGATTTCTACTTTTTTTTCTTTCAATTAAAATGTCTTAGTCATTCACATCTAGGCTTCATCCTGTTACAATAACTATGACTGTTTTAACTGACCTTCTTTAAATTATTTCTTGTCCAGATCAGTAATTTTTGAGACAAAGATGAAATGGACAAGGTCATTCAAAATTAGGACATGCTGCCGTTGACCATGGTGGCACAGGCCAGTAATCCTAGCACTCAGGAGGCAGAGGCAGGAGGATTACCTTGAGTTCAAGGCCAGCCTGGGCTGCATAGAAAGTTCAAGGCCAAACTAAACTGCATGGTGGGACCCTGTCTCAGAAAAAAAAAAAAAAATAGGACACACACTTTGTAAAAACAAACATAATTTTATCACATTACTTTCACTAGTCCATTAAACCAAGGTACTCTCTTATTTACTTGATTATCATTGTAAATCATTTTCTGTCTTTCCTCTTTGATCAAGTGTGCTTAGATGCCTTAATCATTTTTTTCTCATTTTCCATGGTAGGATCGTAAAATTTGGGTTTGTATTTAAAATGAGATAATTGACAATGTGAAATAGGAAGAAAAGGGCTAAAGGTGTAGGGAAAGTGGGAAGGGTAGGGGAAAGGTAATAAGGGAAAAAATTTATGAGAAACTGAAAAAATGGAAATAAAGTGTTTGTAAATGGGGAGGGGAGGAGGGGGTGAAGGGAGGGCAGGGACCAGGGGAAAAAATGAGAAGCAAGACCTGTCATGTAAAGGTACAAGATTCCAATAATGAATATAACTGTACTGTATGCCTAAAATGTACCAATAAACTCAATGAGAGAAAATAATAAAAATAAAAATAATAAAATGAGAGAGAGAGATTTCCCTCTTCACCTCCTATTCCCATGTTGAGGACCCTATAATCTGGTCCATTTTACCACCATGTTCTACAGTGGTATCTTCTTGACTTCCTATTCTCCACTTGTCCTTGCACATATATCTAGCTCACCTAGGTTATCTCAAGGAGAAAGTTCACTGTAATTTAGTTTTGCCACTCCTGCCCCTGCCTCTCCACCATGTCATTATCAGACTAGTATCAACCCCAATCATTAGGTGACTCAGTAAGAGTCTGTTCCCTTCCCTTAACATGCCAATAATTCCTGTTAAAAAGACAATAACCCAGATGTAAAAGTGAACATGTGCTAATAAACAGAAAGCCAACTAGTTTTCTTTAGTCCTTTATTGTGATACCAACCTCATTCTCAACTTGCATTCAAGATCAAGTACAGAGTCCCCAGGGAAACAAAAGAATAGCAGGAGCAGGGGTGAAGAAATCATAAGCAAACTAGGAAAGTAAACATATTCACATCTGCTAGCTAGTATGAAAATGGCTTTCTAGTTACTTTTATTTTCTAAATCTAGAAAATGAGGTGCAAGAGTCATGGTGGAAGAACATAAGGAAGGCTCTAAAGCACTATTTCGAGGAACTCTTCACTGAAGGCCATACTTGACTGGGCATTAACAGGGCACAGGGAAAGCAGGCTCCAGGTGTTCCTGCCAGCCATACCTAGGGCACTTACCGTGCTGACTCCCAGAATAGATTTCTCATTGCCCTCTGAGGTTGTCTCAGCAGAAATCTGAACTATCTTCATTCTGTGCAAGCAGAATACATGAAGCTCCTAGCCATGGTTTGGAAGTATCTGGGCCATTTTCAGACCTGGCTCAATGTTCTTTTCTTTTGTAGCCACTCAGTCTTTGTTCTCAGTGGGCCACCAGAAAGAGAGAAAGCAAAAGACTTTAGTACGATTTATCCAGCTGTTCAGTATGTGGCGCCATCCTAGTGGTCCCATTGATGGACTATACTCATTGGCTATACACCCTCAGTCCTCCCATCCATCTTCACACTCAGAGACTTGGTCCTGTCCTCCATGCCAGATAGGAATAGGCAGCCTTCGCTTCTCAACCTAGGGAGGTTAAGTAAGCTGATAGTGAAAGGGTGTCCCAGGAAAAAAAATCCCTGGGCTCTCAATATGGGCTCTAAAGGCCACCTTCTTTTCCTGCTGAAATGAGTTCTAACCAGACCTAACCAGCTCGTCCCAAGACATGGTCAACTGATCATTCAGATAACTGCAATGTCTAACTAACTCATAGAACATTTATGTTTCAAACACAGCTTGTTGGTCACGTATAGCTGAGCCTGGCTGAGACGACTTCACACTCTGGAATCCCAACACCCTGGCTAGATGCCACCAATGCATCTACCTAGGATCTGTGGCATAGATATTTCTATCAGAAAAGAGCTGGAATGTTCATTCCTTAGCCTAGAATTTAATGCATGTTGGACTAGTCTCTTCAGTCTATGCCTCTGTATGCTTATTCTGACCATCCCTGATAAAGGATTTTTTTTGTTCTCCAAAGTATTCCTGCTATCATCTTTCCTATTCATGACTTAATAACAACAGTAATGATAGTTTGAGATAATATATATCTAATTTTTCCTGTTTTAAAAGACAACAAGTCTGCTATACACAGGCTACAATAAGAAATAATGAAGATAAATTTTTCCTTTTTTTGAAATAAATTTGAATGCTTTTAATGTGGATTTGAATTTAATATACTAGTCTTAGGCTTAAGGGGTTAGATGGAGTATTTTTTTGCCTTTCTCCTTTAAAACAGGCAATAATTATGAAATAATTATGAAATTATGAAATAATGAGTTTTCACTCATATTCATGACTTTAAAAATCAAAATTTAGCATGAAAACTCCTATATGACAAAAGATACCTTGGATTTCAATTATCTAAATTTTGACTTTTACAGGTTGTATACTCAGTCACTTTAAGGTCATTTCAAATACATTCTATTAGGTATTTCTGTCTTCTGACACTATAATTAGAAAACAACTTTGACCAAAATGTCTACTATATGTAGTATTCTTTATATGTAACTTTAAGTTTATTTTTGGAAGAGGATTAATAAACATAGTGCATTGACCAACAATCTGCTGTCAGCGCTTTTCTTGTTGGTCAGCCCTGTGGTGATAAGCATTACCATATCTTCCAAGCAGCATCTGTGCCCAGATGAGCCTTGATATTTAAGATCTTCTTCTTATCAACACAGAAAATATTTTCCAACCATGTAGAAATTGTGTAAGAACTTGGCTAAAGGTAACATTTTAGATCAAATTCAACCAGAAGAATCTTTTTGTTATGCTAAAAGTATAGATAACTGGAACTTTTCTAAAAATGCTTATAAAAAATCTCCAGATATGTACTTGACTTCAGAAGACAGCCTCTTCCTAGTTTTACACTTGATCTTAGCCAAAAGGCCGAGAAGCGATTCCTCTTCCTAGTTTTAAAAGATTTGATTTGTTTTGCTTATTTTACTGAAGAAACAAATTTCCTTGGCAGTCAGAGTTGATATTTTCTTAAACTATTTTTTTCTTAATTTTCCCTGTGAACAGAGAACTATTTTAATTGACATTTATCACCAGACAGAATAAGAATCATTTCAGTTCTGAAATTTTGAGAGAAACATTTCCCATCTGTTTCAGTAACCCAACTGGCTAATTACATTGCCAAGAATAATTTGTCACAAACGGAAAGACCATTCTTTGGGGGCAAAACTCTTACTGCCTTATCTTACATCACATAACTGATTGATGAGCAATTATGAAAAACTTATGAAACTAACTTATGCCATGGATTTATTCTGCAAATTATATTCCAAAAGGAATCACAGAATGCTGTTTAATAATTTACATTGTCTTAAAAAGAGGGGATGGAGTCTGTCGGTTAGTTTGCATCAGCAAAATTGCCTCCTCCGTCAGCCATATCCTGCTTTTTCAGAGTAGGCCACTGGGACATGAATGCTTGGCCCAGCGAGGAACCAGCAAGGAAGAGCTGCAGTGTACTCAGTGTGTCTGCAGAACCATCGCCACCTTCTGTGATTTCAACAAAACAGACAGGCGGCACAGTGCAGTAGTGAAACGTGTTGAATCCCACCTTAGCCATTTGTATATTTGGCAAATTGCCTACATTTGTTCTCCAAGGTCCCGCCTTTACTCTTTTTATCTTAATAACAACAATTATTTCAGGTAGTATTTGTCTACTTTTTCCTAGTTTAGTAAAAAGACGAAGTCTGCTGTGTATAGCCCAGAATAAGAAATAATGAAAAAAAGGTTTTCTTTTTGAGAAATATGAATGTTTAAATGTGGGCTAGAATTTCAATATATTAATTTTAGATTTAAGGGATCCCATAGGATAATTCTTGTCTGTAAAATGGGTATATCCATAGTAATAGTAACTATGTCATAATTGTAACTGAGAATTAAATTAGCCAAGACATTTGAAACTTAATGATGCCATTAGTATCAATATTATGATTATTATTAATATTGTTATTATATTCTTATATGTATTTTTTGCTGTCTTTTGGGTATTAAAAGCAAACTCTCCCTGCCAGAGTAGCTCTTTGAGCTTTCATTGTGGCTCATAATGGTGTTGAACACAAGCATTTATCAGCAAACCACACCCGTAATAACTACCCCACTTCTGAGATAACAGCATTAACCCTAAGGTGAGTTCCATCTCACAGCCCTGTTGCATTAGCAGTGAAATTTCCACATATGAAATTTGAGGGATACGTTTAAACCTTAGCTTCAGGCTTACCTTTCTCAGAGCCTCTGCACTCCCAGTTGCACTCAGTTTGGGATTGTCTTACCTGGTGAAGGGGCTCAGTTCATGCCACCTGAAAATATGATACTTTGGTATTTATTTTGAGATAAAAGCACATGAGAGATAGAGATAGAAAAGGAAGTCGCATGTCCTTTTTACCTAAAAACAGGTCAAAAATTTTTCCATGATAAAGGTACCCACTCTATGTGAAAGAGAACATTCTTATCACCAAAAACTGGAGGTCATCACCAAACTGGACCTATAAAAACAAACTTATTAAAATAACCCTTGTTTGGCCAGGCATAGTGGTTCACACCTGTAATCCCAGCACTGGGAAGGCTGAGTCAGAAGGATTGCTGCAAGTTCAAGTTCAAGGGCAGTCTGAACTACATAGCAAGACTCTGTTTCAAAAACAAAACAAAACATAAATAAAATAACCCTTATTTTCCACTACTATCCCATATATATTTCCTAGTTATTGTCCTACAATTTAGTGCCCCTAGCCCAAGTAGATTTGTCTTATCATATCCTTGCAAATTATCATTCTTTTTATAAGAAAAGTATGCAAGCCATTAGACCAAATGACTTCTTCAGGTCTTTTTTCTTCTTTTCAAGAGACTCCTCCCACGTACACATGAAAATATGAAATAAATGTGTATACTTTATTCTCTAAATCTAAAACAGCTTAAACCTCAGGCCAACCTCTGAACCTCCCCTGAAGAAGGGAGAGGCATGTTTTTGCTCCTCTATACCCATATACCCACATCACTCACTTCCATACCTCCTTGAAGACTGCTAATTGGTCACCTTTTCAATGAAATCTTCAACACTTACCCCATTTATAACTTGCAATATCTGCCTCATATCTTGCTTTCTGCTTTATTTTTATTTTATAGATGTTGTATATTTTGCATATTTCTTTAGAGAAATACATTTTGCATATTTCTTTCTATAAGAGAAGGCATTTTTCCCCATTTCAATCACTTTTAATCTTTCTGTTTCAGTCTTTGCAGGATGGCTAGTCTGCTTTGTAACATTTTAAAAACAGCACTTAATATGTGCCAGACATTGTTTTAACAAAGCCAACTCCTTCATATTCTTCTATAAGCATCAATTCATTTAATCCTTACATGTCTGTGTGAGATAGGCATTACTGCTACCCCTACTTTGAAGATGAGACATTAGAGGCCCACAAAAGTAAGGTAACACGCTCAAGGTCACTCAGAGAAAGAGGGCTACCACTTGAATCCAGTGATCATATTCTCTCGGAGCCCAAAATATGAATTTACAAATTCATTTTGTTAATTAAAGAATAATCAGGAAGCAAATTAAAATAAAGGTAGTAAGCAACTGTGCTTCTATTTCAGTTAAGAATGCAATAAATAAAATATTCCTAGATTATTTTCCTTTACTTGTGGTAAGGTTTATAGAGTCCAGGTTTTCATCATCTCTCATTATCAAGCAGGGAAAACAGGTACGGAATTATAAATGTGCTTCATTTGCCATGTAAAATATACAGCATTAGGTCTCAATAGTTGACAGCAGTAAAGTTGAAAGCAAACGATTTGAGGCAGGAACAAAAGATTAAATTTAATGCCCAAGAATCAAATGAAATGTTTCAAGGATGATACAGATTGTTTCAAGAACTTTCTATTTGAACCACATAACATGTGCAAGAGATGTAGGTTGAATTTTATTTTACCTTTAATATTTTGGGAATAAATAGGCTCAGGCCCATCAATTAACTCTGTACAACAACTGTAACTCTGATGCCTTTCTTTTGATTATTTTTGTTTTACCATGCTAAGAATCAAACCTAGAGCTTTGTGCATACAAGGCAAATGCACTACCCCTGAACTACACTCTTAGCTGATTTTTTTCTTTACTGTAGTAGACTTTCACTTGCTGACTGTGATAAAGATGTATTTTTAAAATATACTGTAAATGAACAGTACATCACAAATCAAATATCTTGTATTTCTTCCAAATGTTTGTTTATAGAAACTGTATTAATATATGTAAATGGAACTTTAAAATAAGAATTATCATTCATAGACCTAGTACCAAAACGCAATAGTTTTGCTCATTTTTTTCTGCATTTGTCTAGCTTTTGCTTATAGATTCAATCATTCAAACAATCAATATATCTTTGATTACAGGAAGATGGGTCACTTGTGTAGTTGAGTTCAGTTACTGCCACACTTTTTCTAGGAATCCCTTACACAGCATCTACATGATGTGCTGAAATCATGATACAGTGGAGCTGAAAAGACCTTAAAAAAGAGCTGGCTCAGTGCCTGCATTTTAGCAGTGGCTGTCTTGTCAATATTAGAAGTAGTTATAACAGTTGCTGCCATTCATTCAAAACAGGGGATTTCTGCTAGATGTTTTTATGAATTACTTCTAATCTTCCTGGCCGTTACGCAAAAGATGGAATGGAAAATATGTGTGTTTGAGTTCTATCACATAAGGACAGTGACAGCACTGACCTCCTAGACTTATAGGGTGGTCCAATTGAGGTAAAATATACAAATTATTTGGCATAAGGCCTATCATGATCCATTTTTCAGGTGAGGAAATTGAGGCGCAGAAAAGTTAAATCATTTGGTTACACAGTTTATGTGCTTCCGTTTCTCACCGAGGATGAGCAAGTGCCTAGAACAATGTTTCATAACTTTATTCAGTGGACCATATGTGCTAGTCAGCTTTTCATTGCTGTGACCAAATACTTGAGAAAAATAACTTAAAGGAGGAAAATATTATTTTGCTTCATGGTTGCAGAGGTTTCTGCCAATGGTCAGCTGGCTCCATTGCTTTTGGGCCTGTGCCAGGGCAGAAATATCATGGTGGAAGGGTGTGGCAGAGGAAAGCCACTCATCTGCACGGCAGCCAGGAAGCAGAGAGCAGGAAAGACCCAGAGACAAGATACACCCTTCCAGGCTATGCCCCAGTTACTTACTTCTTCTGAGTAGGTTCCCCTCCAAACAGCTGTGAACATGAGGTTAGCTACCTCATGATTCAACCAACTCGCAAAAGTCTGCTCTGAACACATGAGCTCGGACAGTTTTAATCCAAACCATAACAATACGCTTAAAAAATTCCTTTGGGTGCATGACAAAAGTTCAGTTTCCTGGATCCTTCCACAAACTAACACAATCAGACCATTTGGAAACAGAAAATGGGAACATGCATCTTAGAAGTTTGCCAAATGCTTCTGAGCACTATAATTTGGAACCACTGATGCTCAGATTTCCAAACTCAACAGCAAGTTCCTAGGCTGAGGCTCAAGATTTCCCCTTTCTGAAATGGGAATGACATTATTGACCCTCAACTCAGCCAGGAGGATTAAAATAGTATACTGTATAGGAAAGTGCTTGTGAACTGTAAAAGGATTATTGTTTCTCTCCAACTGAATCAAATCCTTGCCAAATAAAACAGGACAATGTCCAGTATCTCCAAATTAAAGGCAGCCTTACAGACACAGGCCTAGACAGGTAGTCAATGAGATTTTAATACAGGTTGAGCATCCCTAACCTGAATATATGAAATTTATAATGCTCAAAAATCTAAAACTTTTTTAATGCTAGCAAGACTATAAGTGGAAGATTCCATACTTGTCCTCACATGACAGTTCATGGTCAACATGCAGATACATTAAAATATT